ATGAAAAAAGAGAGACGATCCCTGGAATCCTCCACGCACCGGAGAAGATGGAGTGAACGGAATCCTCACTCGGCCATGTTGTCAAGATGCCTAGCCAAACTGGTGACAAGAACAAGGCTGTTTGTTAGGAAAGAAATTACTGGGACTCCATCCAGAAAACTGGGACAGGGTACTTGGCTCAGGGTCGGCAGGGGGAGGAGATGAAGGTGAGCCCCGCAGGATCTACCAGAGAAAGACCATTGGAAATCCTATAGGAGCTGCTGCCACCAAGGCACAATTTTCGTTAATTACCTCAATTGTGGCTGTTATCCCCTTAATGAGAAACACAGCTTGACTTCTAAGCAGGCAGTGAGGCTGGCAGAAAGCTGAAACCTGAAAATCAGCAGATACAGGGCTGCATGCAGCCCTCTCTATTGAAATTAAGCCACATCCAAAACACAGGGAGAGGACTCCAAATAGCTTCAGACAGCAGCCAGCCATGCAGGGCCCTCACCAGGCACCGGATGGACGCTCTCTCGACTCGTCAAAAGAGGCCCAAATCACAAGTGCTCATTTCAATAACACAAGAAAATAAACATGGGCTTATTTATAGCACAGGAAAGGGACTGGGGCACAAGAACCACTCATTTGGTAATCCACCCTGACGGGGCCAGACAGGATCCAGACCCCAGGCTCTCTGGCAACAGGGGAAGCAGAAACAGTGGCCAGAGAGGGCTGGCTCCAGCATCCCCAGGTACGTCTGGTGGAAGGCCTGGTGTGAGGGGAACAGACCGGAGACACGTCCGCTCTCACCAGCCGGGTCTCAGGGCTCCTGCTATTTCTAATATCTGGTTGGGGAAACTGAGGCACAGGAGTGGGTTCCCTCAAACTGCAGGACGGGCCTGGGTACAACTCAAGGGAAGGTACGAGGAGAAGCCTCCACCCTGCATCCTCCAGAGACTGGAGAAGAGGGGATCGGGAGTCCTCGTCAACAGTTAGGGCAGACACACTTGTGCCCGAGGCCTGGCTCACAGATGGGTTGCAGCACTGAGTTCATGAACACCTGCGGCCACCGCAGCCTTGAGGACAGGGCGGTGTCTCAGCTCTGTGCCTCTGGGTCCAGCACACAGGGCGACTGAAGAACCACTCCGCTGCCTCTCCTGGTCCGGCCTCAGCGCTCACAGAACGCCACAGCCTCTGGGGTTATCCTCGGGTGTGGCAGCTGGTGACAGGATCTGCAGCTGTCATTAAGCGGGAAGGCTCCCTCTCCTTGGTGGCGAGACCTGGCCGAGTGCTTTGGTGGTGCCCGCCCCGTGTGCAGTTCCTGAGAGGTGCAGACAAGGCGGCTCCCGGCCTGAGCGAGCCTGCAGCAGACGCAGCTGCCCTGATGGGGCGGAAGGGCTGCTCCCAGGGGTCCAGCCAGTCTAGAGCAGAAGGAAGAAGCTGGACCCTCGAAATGTGGCCCACTGAGGAAGCAGAAAGGCAGACACGGACGGACGCCGGTGTCTTCGCTGTGTCTTGAGAAGGAAGGAGGCCTGGGGCAGGGAGAGGGGCCACGCTCCCCCTCAGCGTCTCCCCTGCTGCCAGCCACAGTGAGCCTGGATTGGAAAAGCCACAACACGGGCCACCTGTTTAGACCCACACACCCTCCCGGGGACCCTAGAGAGCCAAATTGCCAAAGCTGGGATCCCTGGGAGCCCATTTAATGGAGGTGGAGGAGGCCGAGAAGGTCTGCGCCTTCTATAGATGGTCTCCTAGCTGCCACCCTGAAGAGAGGGACAGTCTGGTATTTAGAGGGGACCCTGCCTGCCTGCCTCTGCTCAGCCAGTAGCTCGGGTCGCCTGTTCTTAGCTCCTCAGAGCACACGTGGTCAGCACACAGGCCCTCGCTGCCCCTGCTTTGACTCAGAAGTAGGACCTGGGTGAGAGCAAACGGCGGCACAGGGCAGGAGCCCCAGGGCCTGGGCAGGGATGGGCCTGCAGTGTCTCTAGGCCCTGCAGGGAGAGCTGAGCAGCTTCCAGAGTCTTCCCGAGGTCGCGCCTGCCAGAGCTTCCTCTCAGGAGCTGGGGGAGAGGCCTGGGGCCAGCCTGGCACTCTCTGTCTCTGCCTCTCTATGCCAGGGACGCCTGGGGAGCAGCCTGTTGTGGCTTCTCTTACTGCAACAGAAGACTGGCTGGGCCAAGGGGAAGGAAAAAGGGGCACCTCCCAAAACACTGCTTTCGCTGGGCCCAGGGTGGGTGCTGGCGGGACCTCTATGGCCAGTCTCTCCCCCAGGTGCCAGGCTCCTGCCTGCAGAGCCAGGGGAGCCTCACCAGAACCCAGCCACCCCCCCGCCCCATCTCTGCTCGTCCTCTTCTTCCTTCTACGTAGGAAAACATCAGGGGTTCTTGGATTCTAACCCCAAATCACCTTCACATGGAGCCCGCTCTTCCCGTGGTGAGGACACTCCCGCCTCTTTGCTGTGTGACACCACTCAGAGGCCATCATGGCGGGTGGAAGCTGGGACTGGAGGGTTATTGATGACTCCTTCAGTCAATGATCGCAAAAGGGGATCTTGGAGGGTCACCTTTGCGTGGGCAGCAGAGGAGCCAGGCCCTGAGACCCATGGGTTCAAAGCCCAGTTGAAGTAGACAAAGCCGAGAAGCCAAGTGGTTACTTCTGAACTTGGTGGCGGTGAGCAGAGAGAAAGGACAGGACAGCGTCACTGGCAGGAAGGAACCAGAGATTCAGAGAACAAAGCTGCTATTTCCCTCTTTAATTTTCACAGAGAAGGGAGTTTTGGCTTAAACACATGTGAGACATGGTGAAATACATGAGATAAAAACATTAACAACTGTCTAATGTTAATCAGAAAAAACAGATAGTATTTCCAGCCCAGGAGTTCCAAGCGGGCCCATCCCATGAGGTCCCCAGGGCCCAAGGCAATGGCCCAGTGCACACACTTGGGTCAGGGCCAGTTTGCTGTCTCTATAGGCCAGGAGGACACAACTTCTTTAAAAAAGATTTCTTAATCTAAAACCAGCTGTTGTCTGCTGTAGGCCAGAACATGACATTTTAATTAGCATATTGTTCTGCTTCTGAAGCAGGCTCCATGGCATCCGAGGGGCAGATGTCCCGACCTAAGCTTCGGGTGAGGCCTGCTGGTTGGCAGCTCAGGAACACACTCATGAGGGCATGCAGGCCCATGGCCCTTGGAACCTCTAATGCTGACCGCTTGCTGGAGCCCTGTCCTGCATTTCTACGGGATTCTGTTCTCAGTCCGTTAGTAGGTAGAATGTTGGAGGTTTGCTTTGAGAGCCCAAGATGTGGTAGAAATTGCTCTGTTGCAAGATCTAACCCCAATACTTCTGGAAATAGTGGGGTACTTTACCACCAAGCCACATCCCCAGCCATTTTTATTTTGAGAAAGAATCTCGCTGAGTTCCTTAGGGCCTCTCTAATTTGCGGAGGCTGGTTTTGAACTATGATCCTCCTGTGTCAGCCTCCTGAGTGGTTGGGATTGCAGATATGCACCACTGTGCCCAGCTAAGTGACTGATGTCCTTGGAGTCCAATGGCTCCCACAAAGATGATAAAGTCACACAGCTCCCCGAGGCACCCAATCAACCCAGATGAAAGAGTTCCTATTTCAAAATCAAAGGGCCAAGAAGGGCTGAAAAACACCCCAAACCCATGAACTTATGGGAAAAAGAACTGGGTAAGACACCAACCACCAAGGTAGCTCATTCAGTAAGGAGCAAAAGGACAGAACTATCTGAACCTTCGGCTAAGGACAAAGTCACACCCACCCACCATGAGCACAGCTCTCGGCTTTCAGTGGGGATTTCAATGGAGGCTCCCCACACATGCCCCACGTCTAGGGACAAGCTAGCGGCCCCCTAGAAAGTTAGAGGGGCTCACTGACTGCCAGCTCTGGGACCTGGTGACAACAGAAATCCCTTTCTCTGGCTTTGTATCACACCAGCCCCAGGATTTTGAAAACGAGAGTGAGAGGCCTTCCCACGTCCCTACAACTGGTGCACATCGTCCTAGACAAAAAGCTCATCAGGGACCCGCGTCTGCAGCTCTAAGACGCTGAGCAAACCAAGGTCCCACGTCCACATCTGCAAAATGAACCGAGGGACGGAGCACGCTCGCCCTCCTGGCAGCAGCTCCAGGGTCCCTCTCCTGAACACAGAACGGGAGGGCTCTTGGGCTTTCCACTTTGGGTTCTGCTCTTCTGAAACTGTCCTCTGGCTCCCAGGCTGTGGGTGACAGGTGAAGTGACCCTTAGACTACAGTGCTGTCCCTGCTCACCTTCTTGTCACTCAACAGAACAATGGGTGGTGTGAGAGGGGCTCCGACTGGCACACAACTGGCTGGCTTTCTGTAATTATATCCACATTCTAAGCAAATTGTTATGTATTCTGTGTTCTGGGGACATATGTTATGGCTGAAGCCCAAACTGTGGCTAATCTTAATATTAGAGCCAGATAAATCTGTTTCGAATCCATAACATTTAACATTTGCCAGAGTAGATTTGTTCATCAACTGGGCTTAAAGAGGTATAATTCACACATGTGCAGTATTACTAAATGCTGAAATTTAATGATTTAAATGTACCAGCAACTGTTGCAAAGTGGTTGTTACAGCAGCATTTAACGTTGGCCAGAGCCTCCCTGGCTAATGTCACGTTTACACCAAGAGAAGAGGGAAATTCTGGCATCTCCTTGGGGTGGGGGTCACACCCCCTTCAGCTTTTACCACATGGTACTCCCATGGCGGCGAGAGGGTACTGTTGGTGGCCCAGCATGCTGAGAGGCGGTATGGACGGCCGCTGACCGGGAGTGAGGGGCCTGTGGAGGCCTCTGAGCCCCTGCTCTTAGGTCGCTCATGACCGGGGCCTTCTCATGCCTGATGCACTTGGCACCAGAGCCCCTCCTGGTGCGTCCTCCCAGACTGTCATCAGGCCAGAGGTCGAGGCAAGTGCACGAAAGAAGGATGGGTCCCAGATCACCAAGAATCAGCACTTAAGACATAAAAAAAAGGAGTAAAAAATAATTTTAATCATATAAAAGCTGCACCAAAGAGTAGTTCATGGAACTGACAGGACCCCAGTCAGCGTTCTTCCTCTGCCTGCGCCTGGAGCCCCAGGGCCCAGGCCCAGACCAAACCCATGAAGAAGTCTGGGTTGGCCCCAAATCCAGGGCTTGGCTGTTCCTCCACGACTCTCTGGTGTGCAACGACTGAAGTGAGGGGCACCTCTGACACGGTCTCAGGGCTGGCCGGCTCCTCCACTGTGTAGTTCCATGGCCCGTCGGCAGACTGCACACCTGGAACTGAATGTGCTGGAGCCAAGTCCATGTGCCACCAAGGCTCCTTCCCACTTGTTGTGAAGAGAACCCTGGAGACCAGGAGGACCCAGGTGTGGCTGCAGGGCTCCGGGCTCGGGAGCCTCTGGCTTCTGATCTTGAGAAGGTGGGAGTGGGTGCGCGGAGCCCAGTCTGTCACCCCACCCCTCTGCCCCACAGTACGGCTGGGAGTAGCTCTGCCCGGCCCCAGCGGCACACCTCACAGGCTGCCGATGTTGGGGAAGCTCTTCAGCTTCTCAGGAAAGTCGTCCTTGTATAGCACGGGGTCAGCCCGGTGCTCCACCACCTTGAGGGGCATCGTTCCAAAGACAGAAGCAAACTTGTTGATGCACTCGGACCTGTGGGAGCGGGGCAAAGGGGGTGGGGAAGGTAAATGTTTGAGAGGCTGAGAAGTGACAGCAAAATACATCGTGTTCCCATCAACAAGAGAAACTCAGCTGCTGCCAGGCTCCGGGGAAGATGGAGAGGTAAGGATCAAGGAGGAGCTGAGGGTCCAGGCTCAGTTCGGGGGAGAAAGTGAAGGGATGCGGTTGGAGGCTGGCCTACAGGTCAGGATCTCTCCCCCTCCCCCTCAAATTCCAGTCATTCTTCCAGCTCAGCACTGGCAGGCCTCAGACCCAGGTGGATTAGTTGCCAACAGACCTTAACCCCATCCCTGCCAGCTAAGGATGGTGGGAAGGAAAGCGACTTGGATCTGAGCTCGGCTTAGTGAAGTTTAAAGGGCAGGAGAAGGGTCTTACCCACGTGGCAGTGGGCAGCGAGGGAAGATGGGCAGCGAACCTCAATTTCAAACAACGAACACTTGGTTCATTGAGCAGCACTCATGCAGGGCCTGCACGTGGCCATCTCCAGGAAGGACCAGGCGCCTGCACAAGCTCCTCTGACAAGCAGAGCTCACACGGGTCAGCGTGCCTAATTTGTGTGATTTTAGTCACCCTTGCCAACTTGGGACAACAGCTCCTGCTGGAGGTGCTGGAGGAGAGGCGTCTCCTGGCTCCAACTCCGCCTGGAGCTGGTCAGCAACCCTCGGAGAGGACTGGGCTAGGCGTATTTTAGGGACCATGCAGGTCAATCAGGCCAACTGAGTGTGGCAGCTGGGCAAGAAGAAAGGTCAGCACCAGACTGGAGTGGAGCCAGGCCTGGAGAAGCCGTGTCTGCAGTCAGGGGACCTCAGGGATGGCATCAGATGGCAGGTCCTCAGCTCTGGAGAGCTGCAGCAGGAACTGGCCAACTGCCCACCAGGCGGACTCGGCACAATCTCTTTGTCCTCAGAGGTACAACCGAAAGCCTGGCTTCCAGTTATTTTAATCAACAAGTTTGCATGGATGAGCTTGGCTTCAGGAAGAAACCATTAATAAAGAAGATTGCTGTTACTGTTTTTCCCCTTGTCATGATGTTTCTGAAACATCTGAACCATTTCACTTGGAGCTTTCAGCTAACGTGCCCTCATGCCCACTGACACCACAAGTAGCTGGATTCGTCGTCTGCACTGTTAAGTAACTTGCCAGGCTAGCAGTGCTTCTAGTTCTCCTCGTAACAGGGGTGTGATGGCCTCTCGTTCCCATTTTCCCTGGGGGAGACTGAGACATGGAGAAGCTAAGTAACACGTCTACAGGTCCAAAAACCTAGAAGAGCCATGAGCCAAACCCAGGCATTCTGGCTCCTGAGGCTAAAGTCTTAATTATGATCTCATACAAATGTATCTATTAGTGTAATTCCAGGGTCCAAAGGGAGGAGCTGGAAGTTAGAGTCAGTTGAGACTCTACTCCTGGCCAGCTGTACATAGATATCTCTAGATTCCTCAAAGTATCCCTCCCCATCCCTCTCCCTTGCCCAGGGACTGGGTTTATATTATCCTAAGGTGATGGATTAAGAAAATAAGGTTCAAGAGGCTAAGTAATTTGCCCAAGGACCCAGAGCTAGAAAGTGGTAGAACTGGGCAGAACCTGGCTCTTGGCATCAGACTCCACCATAACTTGCTAGTATCTGAGTTTCCTTCCTGAGACTCGGGAGGTGGGGGGCAGGCAGCATCCAGACCCAGGGAAGAATTGCTGGGGAGAGTGAAGACTCTAGGTGATGTGGTTCAAGCGCTGGACAACAGCTCCCCTCTCTTCAAACCACAGGGTCAAAGTAGCAGCCAACCAAGTCAAATCTCTACAGGTTTTACTTTCTGACAGTGCTTCTGTCTGTAAACAGGAAAGATTCTTCCAGTTTCCAGGTGCTGCGCACACAGGCTCTGGCCAGCCCAGCCCTGCCGCGCCCAGCATGGATACCCCTGGCTCTGGCTGAGGGTGGCACTTTATGGCCCAGGGAGAATATTAACAGCAAGGTCTCCTCTGTAACCAGATCTTCCAGCAGGGCATGGGCCATGGCAATATGCCCTGGGGCTCAGGCCAGCCTGAACCGCTGCCAGAAACCCTGGCTAACCCCACTCTGAAGGCGCTTCCTCCTCGCACACAGCCTGGCACAGGGGGGCGGGTGCAGGCCCTACCCCAGCCAGCTGCTTTCCATCCAGGAAGTCTGAGGCAGGGAACATTAGGCAGGAGAGCCTGGCTGAGTGACTCAGGTGGGGAAGTTGGGCTACCCTGGTTTCCTGCTGCTTTCGCATCAAGTGTGCTCACTCAGAACTGCCAGTCTCCGGCTGGGCGGTGCTGCAGTGTCCAGGAGGGGGGCCCATGGGCTTTGTTTTTCTCTAAAGCACATCCCATCACCCAGAGTGGCCAGGAGCCTTCAGGACCAGTGCAGGGAAACTGGGGTGGAAACTCACACTGCCAGGCCCTGGGCTACCGGAGCTCTATCCAGCAGCGCCTGACACACTGCCGGGTACTAAGATGCTCATAAATATTTGCTGAACCTGGGAATGGGCCCTGGGATTTGGTACATATTAACATCCCCATCTCAGTAGACAAAGAGATTGAAATTCAGATAAGATAAGCCAATCTAATGAGTGACAAGCTCACACTCTGAACAAAGATTGATCTAAATCAAAATACTATGTTTTCTTAAATGAATGCTTTCTGTCTGCCGAGTAAACCTGCTCGTGGTAAAGTTACTGGGCAAATGAACCACTATAAATTCTTCTGATTCTTGAAGAGATAGTTGATTCTGGAAATAGATGCTGGGTAGTAAAAAACTACTCTCCTACACAACTGAGATTTCAGATCCAGGCACCCAAACACAAGGTCAGAGGCTGGTGAGTGGCTACCACTTCTAATGGTTTGTGTAAATGTGTATTCTGCAAAGGGAAATATTAAAACTAAAACAAGTGAACAATTCTGCAGTTGTAACTCTATCTCCTAGGCTACCCAAGATGGCTTAAATCATGTCTTCCTCCCTCCCAATATGAATGCTTTTTTTTTTTTTTTTGGTGCTGGATATTGAACCCAGGGGCTCAGGCATCCTAAGCAGGCAATGCTACCACTGAGCTATACCGCAGTCCTCAGTACCTTATTAATAATCCAGTGCCTCAATCTATTTTTTTGAGGGGTGCTGGATTTTTGACCCCAGGGACACTTTACCACTGAATTACATCCCCAGCCCTTTTTATTTTTCACTATGAGACAGCTCAATAAATTGCTGAGGCTGTCCTTGAACTTGGACTCCTCCTGCCTCAGCCTCCCGAGTTGCTGGGATTACAGGTGTGCACCACCACGACTGGCCCAGCGCCTCAATCTGTAACCCCAAAACATTTTGCTGATTTATTTGTCTACTCCCTATTAAATCTCTCAAAAGCATTGCTTCCCTGCCTAACTCCTCTCTCACCAGCTCAGGCTCTGAGCCTCGTCTGCATCACTCTCTGACAGTATTTTTTAAGGTCACCAATAGCCACCCCGTGCCAAGACCTGCTTTGCGTGACCCTTGCTCCCTCCTTGTTTCGGCACCGCCTGCCTGCAGGCCTCTCTGACAGCTGTTGCTTGTTTCCAGTTATGCCTTCGGTCTCCTAAATGTGAGGATATCCCAGAGTCTGCCTTGGCTTTTCTTTAGTCGGCTGTGGTTCCTGGGCAGAAGACAGACTCAGTTCAAACACCTTTCTGCAGTCTGTTTCCACGTTTCTAACTGCCTGGTCACTGTTCTAGATCTCCACACAGAGGGCAAGGCCTCAGAATCGCCCACCTTATTCTCCAATTTCACCCAGGCTAACCCTCTAGTGTGCCCTAACAGTGCCCCTTCCCTCCACTACACTGTGCACACTGTTAAAGGTACTGCGACTTTTTTTGACTCCAAATCTAAGTAATCTGCTGACTCCTTGTCTGTACCCTCTCCATACCTGTCCATCTGGAAACCACATTCAGGCACCTGTTCCTTTTCTTGAGAGTTAATTTGTTAACTTTCTTTCCACATTCAGATTAGTTCAAGGTTTCTAACAACTGGTCTTCTTTCTACAATGTTATCATTTTCCATCCCATCTTAGACACTACTTACAAATTAATCCCAAAGCAAATTTTTTTTTTTTTTTTTTTTGTGGTACTAGGCATTGAATCCAGGAAGTCTTTTTCCACTGAGCCACACCCCCAGCTCTTTTTATTTTGAGACAGGTCTTGCTAAGTTACCCAGTCTGGCCTTGAATTTGAGTTCTTTCTTCTTCAGCCTCCCGAGTTGCTGGGATTATAGGTATGTGCCACCATGCCCAGCTTCAAAGCAATTCTTTGATCAAGTTAGTCAACAGATCAAAAACCCTGGGTGAAAAAAAAAAGCCAGGCATAGTGGCAATCTCAGCAACTCAGGAGTCTAAGGCAGGAGGATAGCTGGTTCAAGGCCAGCCTCAGCAATTTAGGAGGCCCTGATCAACTTTGTGAGACCTTGTCTCAAAATAAAAAATAAAATGGGCTGGGGATATGGCTCAGGGGTTAAGTACTCCTGAATTCAATCTCTGAGTAAAACAAACAAACAAAAACCCCCAACAAGCCCTGGGTGACTTACAGAGTTACCAGAGTCTGAAGGAAAATTCTGAGCTCCTTGAGTGAAGGTTCAAAGGGCCTTGCACTCTGACACCAAGAGGCCAGAATTCTGGCTCTGGCCAAATGGAACTTCACAATGCCTGCCAAATGAACATGAACTTGTGGATCAGGCATCCTTGGCCCCTCTCCTTCACCTTGCCCAGTTTCATTAATTGGGATCCTAGAGATTTTTGAAGGTCTCCATCAGGTGTTACCTCCTTTACAAAGCTACTCTGAATCATTAACCCAGCAAGGAGTTAACCCTCTGAGCCTCCCTCAGGGCACTTATCACAGGTCATCTGGGATCAAGTCGGCCTGTGTGTCTGGATAGGCCTCTGCTTTCCCAGGTCTCTTCTAGAGAGCAGGCGTCACTGGCTGTTCCTCTGCTCAGGGTCCTGAGCACGCACTGAACTGGACTTGCTCTCGGTGCCTTTGTCACTTTGTCTTTTAAGCCTCTTGGCATTTGTTGTGGCCTCAGGGATGCAGAGAAGAGCTGAGGAGCCTCAGCATGAGCTTCAAGGCCATCGTCAGGTCAACCCTCCTCCTGTCACTTCCTTCCCTCATGTCCCCACCATCTAACCCAATCACCACTGGGCTTAATGTGCCGAATCTCCTCAAACAGAGAATAGATGGTTTCCAGAGCAACTTCACATGCTCCAGAAGAACCACTAATGGGGCCTTTTCCAATTGGGCTACGGCTGGCTGTTAATGTCATGACCCTTACCTGTGACACTTAAGATTACCAGTGACGATAATCCCCAAACACAATAATGTACTACTTCAAGGGTAGTTTCATCTAGGTAAGTCACAGATGATAGGATAAGGAGATTATTTGGAAAATCAGAACGAGTAAAGCATTATAAAAACATCAAAGGCCAAGGGAAAACCTGTACCAAAAAATCCTCCAGCTTGAGGGATCTATTGTGGCTCACGGTTTTCAGAAATATGCAATTCTGCAAGCAGATGCGCGTAAGATCTGTGGGAATTCAAGCCAGGTATCTCATTCCAAAAGGTCACTAGAACATTCTCTGAGTGCATTTTGGTCCCTTGACAATAGTGCCACTAACACGGCAAAGCCAGCTGCCACGAGTAAGGAGCTGCCTTTGGGAAGACTGAGATCTGATTCAGGCACTGTGAAGCTTGGGGACTTTGGGGGACAGTGGGAACTGTCAGGTCTAGTGTAAGGTTCTGAGGGACTGAAGGAAAGACACACATTTCCCACTGCTGGTGTCTTCATGTCCAGGATCACGTCCCACACAGGCGTGTGCTTGTAGAGTAATGGGAGGAATAGAAACAAAGGGACGCCTTCACAGCTGCCCTGGCTCTGGATCTTGCTCTTGGCGGGTGTTTTGGTAATATCAGCAAAGGTGATCTGTCTCTGGTGGGCTTGGCTTAAGTCTTTCTAGTCAAGCTTTTACTATTACATGGAGATGCTACCCTGAGAAACAATGCAGTATTTCCTTGGAATTAACTAGCTTCCACTCAGTGACTGTAGACAGTTAACTGCTTAGGCCACATGGAGAATCTGGCTTCTGGAGCTTAAGGCCAGCTATATTTTTAAGGCCCTTCCAGCCATTACAAATTGAGTGAGTAGCATTCCAAATTAATTCTTTGGGTGACCTGGGCTTGAACTAACCCAATTCCCACCGTGCCAAGGAGGTGACTATGGCTACCAGCTGCTGTCCTTATATCTCCAACAAAGTCCCATAAACAGGCCCAGGGCAGGAAATGGGGATCAGGGCTGGGGCAGACTTGCTTGAGGCTCACTCACCTCTCCACCATGTGTGTCTGGTCTAGAGAAAGCCCGTCAATGGCCGTGCACTCAGGACACTTGAATTTCTTTCGTGGGGTCACCTGACAGAGGAGCATAAAACATACCTGGCTTCAGCGCCACGGACTCTAAAAGTCAAGCTGAGACCCATTCTGCACGCTTCCGGCTGTAAGCGGAGATGCTGCGCACGCACACGCACACCTCACCCTTCCTCCGCTCAGCTCGGGCTGGCTCAGCCAACAGAACTCACAAGGGCCCAATAAAAGAGGCTTGGAGGGCTTTTGCCTTCTGTAACTGGGAAGAAGTGGTGATGACAAGCTCCTTAATTCCTGTTTAATGACTGTTTTCTCACTGCCAAGGTCCTTGTATAAACACCGTTTGTTCTTGCAGCCACACGGGCGATGAAATACAGCTTCCCATAACTTTCACCATAACCTCAGTTCCAACAGGCACTCTTTCTCCTTCTCTCAGCTAATGGCAGATGCTAGGAGCAGCACTGTACTCTGGAAGATACAGCTTATTTTGCAGTTCCCTTTAGTCACAAAAAAAATTCCAATCGTCCCTCCCCCCTGAATCCTTTTCCCTGACTGCCCCTCCACCTTCCCAAACCTTACGCTTCCATCAAACTGAGGGAAGGACAGGAGCGCAAGAAGGCCAGCTAGCCAGGGCGAGGCTAAGAGGCAAGACACCTGTCCAGAGCTAGCAGCCACAGCCAACAGCATGGAAAATAAATTTAGGGGTGGAAATTCACTTTCTTTAATTTCTCTTGTAGTTGGCTGTTCACTGAGTCATTTAGAGAGCTGGGGGACACAGAGGCCCTGGGGGAAGATGGCGACTTGTCCTCTTTCACAGGCTCCTCGTGTAATCATGTGCAATCGTTGGAAATGCCACCCCAAGATTCCAGCGTGAGCTCCTGTGGAATCGGGCTCTCCAGGCAGACTCTGAGGGGAGTCTGCGCTGCCCACTTCTGGTATAATCCAGGAAGAAGAAAGGTCACGATGATCCCACCCACACAGAGAAGGGGGCTTCCTCTACATATCTAGGTTCTGTTTTGAGCAAAGTCTGAGTTCTAGGCATAAATAGTCGTTTTGTCATGTACAAGACTCCCTCAGAGGATCTTCATATATTCTCAGTTTTTAATGCGGGCAACATACTTTCAAAAGCTGGGGATGTTAGGACCACTACAGCCTGGTCACTGTGCAAGTATCTGTGCCCCGGGGCCACAGTCTTATAGCTGCAAGCACCTCTCAGGCTTGGTGGTGGCGACTTGCCCAAGAAAGCACAGCAAGTGGGTGCAGGACCTCTTACCTTGATGACAGCCTTCCCCGTGACATTCGCCACCAGGAAGTTCATGGCTATATCTTCACAGTTCATGTGCGCATCAACCCAGTTCTTGATGTCCCCAGGCATTTTGTAGGTATACAGGTAATTAAAATACTGTCAGGTGGGAAGAAAAGAAGAAGGCATGCTGAAGTCTGTTCCCATGCAGCAGTGTTTGGAGGGGAAGCTCTGGGGGTGACAGGATCCTGAGAGCTCTGAGCCCATCAGTGGATTAGCCCACTAAAGCATTATTGGGAGGTGGTGAAAACTGCAGGAGGAGGGGGCCCATCGGGAGGAGCAGGCTGGGGTGTGCCCTGAAGGGACCATCTTGTCCACCCTCTCCCTCCCTCCCTCCATTTCCTGGCTGCCACCAGCGAGCTGCGTTCCTCCACCTCACCCTTCTGCCATGCCTCAGGCCCAAAGCCTGAGCAATGGAGCTAGCCCTTGTGGACTAAAACCTCTAAACCATGGGCCACATCCATCTTTCCTTCTCAAAGTTGTCTTTCTGTCTCAGTGATGAAAGTTAATGCAATGTGTATGGATAAGTAAATAAAAGGCAAGCTGAAACACATCCAGTGACAAGAGTGTGGCTCTCTAGGTGACATAATTAAGGTGACTGTTACTCATTTTAGTGTTATAAATCTTTGTACTCTGTACTAGGAGCATGTATTGTTTGTATAGTTAAAAAAATAATAAACTTATTTTAAAAGGAATATCACACAACATGGCTCTTCTAAGCCCTCTCAGTAGGACACTTTCCCTAAACCCAGCAGCAGGTATGAAAAAATCCATTGGGCCAAATACAACAGGTGTCATTCCTCAGTTTTGTCAGAGGGGACCCGGTGGCCCCAGCCTGTGCCCGCTCACCTTGTGATAAAAAGCTGCCCCAGTGAGCACCATGGAGACCTCGTTCGTCCACTCCGACTCGTACTTCCATTTATTCATCTCATGGTCCCAGAGATGCAGACGACCCGGGTAGCCCACCAGCCGGTCAGGAAATTCCCGCCAGACCTAGGGATGGAAGCGCATCACGTCACATCAACTCCCCTTCAGGAGAAAGCCGCTCAGTGCAGTTACCCAGCGGGTAGCAGCAGCCTCCCGAGGGCTGAGTCTTCACCAACTAAGAAGGGCAGAGTGGGCTTCGGAAGGCAGTCAGTCTTAACAGGTGCCCGTCCTTCTACCAAATTTCAAAGATAGCGGTTGATTCTGATTTCCTCCAAACTTCTTGATATGCTTGGAAATTTCAAGTGATGTGAAAGAAGAGCTTACTGAGTTTAGCCAACATGTGAATAATGAAATAGTTTTTTTTTTTTTTTTTTGGTGGTACTAGGGATTGAATCCAGAGCTTCTCCAGAGCTCTACCACTAAGTTACAACCCACTTCTTTTCCTTTCTTTGTTGGGGGGTACCAGGGATTGAACCTGGGGACACTCAACCACTGAGCCACCTCCCCAGCCCTATTTTGTATTTTATTTAGAGGCAGGGCCTCAGTGAGTTGCTTAGCACCTCGCTTTTGCTGAGGCTGGCTTTGAACTTGCAATCCTCTTACCTCTGCCTCCCAAACTGCTAGGATTACAGCTGTGAGCCACCACTCCTGGATTCTTTCCCTTTTTACTGTGAGAAAGGGCCTCTTTAAGTTGCTGAGGTTGGTCTTGAACTTGTGATATTCCTGACTGAGCCTCCCAAGTCACTGGGATTATAGGTGTGTGCCACCACATGTGGCCATTTTTAATGAATACACAAATGAAGAATAAATGGAACTCTGAAACTCAACTGCCCTGATTCGTGTTAAATTGGTGATTATGAAAAGTTCCAAAGTCTTCTTTTAAAAAACATCTATTTTTCCTGAGCACACCTCCATTCTTACGTCCTACTAGAAGCCTAAAGTGTACAGGATTTGTCTGACTCCATACTCCGTAGCCCACTGAGAACACACCGTGGCTTCTCTATTGGGGGAGGGCCTGCGTGCCGTCTTGTTGGCTCACACACAACTTCACGCACTGGGGATGAGGCACTGCCACACCCCCCCCCCAAGTGATTATGTACGATAGTGTAACCTTTCAGAGAGAGAAGGGCCATTCGTGAGTGAGCCTTGACGTTAGCTGGCCGTCCTGTGCCTCTTTTCACTCTCCTCTGCTGGTTTCTCAACCTGGAGCAGAATTCTAAGTAATGAGGCTCCTGAGGGTCCAAGAGCAGGCCCTGTTTTCTTCTCCAAGTTCTCTCTCTTTAAGGAACTGTGTCTAGTTTTCATCTCCTTAAATGCCAACTCCAATCTGACGACCTCTAACTTTATGCCTAGCCAGGACACTCCTGAGCTAAATAACCCCTAATGAGCACCTCTGCCTGGACAAACAGGCACCCCCTCCCTACCACGTCTAAAATACACTCTGAATCTCACGTCCCCGACCAGGTCACCCCATGTCGCCACCTCAGTCAATGGTCCGGCCCACGTGCTGGCATCGGCCTTTGCCCTCCCAGCCTCCCTCCCAGGCCATGGGCAAGTCCTGCTGCTCTACTCTGACCACATCCTACCATCCCCCACCACACCCTGGAGCTCCAACCACCACCATTTCTCCCTAGGACCCTGTGACAGCTTTCTTTCTACCTTGTCCCCTGGTTGCCACTCCAGCCCTTCCAGACCCTGGCGTGCACACACCTCTAGAAAGACCACCCACGTCTAAGCGAACGTTAAGGGCTCAGCACAGAGCAATCCGACCAGTGGTCTCTAATTTATTTTTTATAATCATTTTCACTGTATATTTACATATATATTTATGGAAGCCACAGGGTCTCAAGCCAGAGTAACTGGTGGCTTCCCGACTGCCACTCTGGAGGGAGAGCCAGTGCGTGTACCTCTCTTCCTTTTTCTTAGCTTCCTGGGGCTGCGGTAGCAAAGAAGCACACCCGCGGGGCTTGGAACACCAGGAGAAGAGAAGCTAAACTCCAGGTGCCCGACGAGCCAGGTTCCTGCGGAGCCCGCAGGGGAGCCCGCCCTGCTGCCCTGGCACCCCAGGCTTGCACCACATCACTCCAGCCCTGTTACCATGTGGCCAGCTTCCCCAGTGACACCAGGCACACTAGGTTGGGGCCCGCCCTGGTGACCTCATTTTAACTTGGTGACATCTGAGAAGTCACTATTTTCAAGTACAGTCACATTCTGAAGTGAAAGGGACACAATTCAACATATCTCTGAAAATCTTTAAGAAATGTCCCACCCTCAAACGAAGACAAGAAATGCCTTGCTACTGCACCCTTCCTGTCCTCTCTCACCAGGTTCTCCCACACACCAGGTCTCTCTGCTCTGCCTTCATGACTAGACCCCAAGCCCTCTGCACTGGCTACTTCTTCTGTCTGGAAGGCTCTCCCTGCTTTTCAAAAGCCTGGTTTCTAGCCAGGCACAGTGGTGCACACCAGTATTCCAGGCTACTCTGGAGGCCGAAGCAGGAGGATCACAAATTTGAGGCCAGCCTCAGCAATTTAGTGAGACACTATCTCAAAATAAAAAAGGGGCTGGGATGTGGCTCAGTGGTACAGTGCTCCTGAATTCAATCCCTAGTATCGAAGGAAAAAGAAAAAGGCTGGCTCCCTCTCATCGGTCAGATCACCACTGCCAGCTACCCCAAGGGGCTTCTTGGGCTTTCGCATCCAAGGCCCAAACCACCCACAACCAAACGCCCGCCACACCCCCGTTTTCAAGCCCTTGCTTTGCTTTACGGAACTTTCATTCTTTGCAGTTACTTCCATATTCATGAAGCACAGGCCTTCCACTTTCCTCGGGTAGGAGTCACACTGGACCGGGACAGACTGTCTTTATTTGCTGAAGTATTCCAAGCACAAAGAACTGTCCTGCGTGTGACCATCTCCGCACACCTGCTGAGCGCGCAGCAGGTGAGCAGGTAAGGAGCCCAGAGCAGAGAAGACAGCCTCCCCTCTTCAGCTCTCCTAGCTCAGGACCCTGCGGCGGTTCTCATGGTGGGGTGTGAGGAGCACAGCAGTCCTCAGGTGGCTGTGCGTCTCTGAGCGCTCTTCCAGGAGTGGGAGGGACACTTGCTGAGTCATTACACTGTCTCTGCCCAGTCCCCCTGCTGACCCTGTCCCTGTTTACGAGCTGTCTGACCCGGGTCTTGGGCGTGGTCCGGCTGGTGAGAAAGCAGCTCACCTCTGGGCTCTCGGCCGCAGCCTCATTAACGCCGGGTGGTAACCAGCAGAGTTAATCGGCCACAGGCATCGTCCTAATAGCTGCAGACAAATGAACCCTTGTCAGACATTTCCTCAGAAGTGTGCACTGCCGCCTTCCCTCCACTCCGGGTTTGTATTTCAGCAGATTAAAATAATATGATACTGCTACAGTTTTATAGAGCCCAGAGCAGCAGCAGAGTTATGCGAGCCGTGACCACTGCTGGGCCGGGGACTCCCCTGAAGGCCCTGCCAGCCCTTCCCGGGCATCGCACGCCCGGCGCTCCACGCACACCATGCCACGCTCACCATGGCGCCTCCGAGGGCCCAGGTCACGTGACTGACCCTGGGAGGGCAGGGTGGGGGCGCGGGTGGCACACCCGTCAGGTTCTGCTCCCTGAAGGCAGTGCAGCCTACGCTCCATGCACAAGAAGCTCAGGTCATCTCCGTGAGGCCTCCTCTTTACCCTCGCCCCGGGGTGCTGCTACCATCCTTATGCCTCACCACCATCGTCACCACTGCTCAGCCTTAGGGTCACATGCAGTCAGACTGCAGTGAGGGACTCTCACTGTTGGCTGACTTCTCTGCAGAGGGACTTAATGTGGCGACGCTGGGTTACAGAGTGCCACGCTCCAGCACTCGTGGCGGCATCAGAGGTGTCCTGAGGTTCAGATTCCTCGGGAGCCTGCGCGGTTCCTCCCGCGGGCCTCTGCCCTTGGCTCACTCCAGGCAGCTGGATCCAATCAGGACACCCTCCTCGTCACCTCATCCATAACCCTGCCGCTGACTCCAGGATCACAATGGAGGGAAGCAGAGGGGAAGGGCCCTCTGTGCCGGCCAGCCTAGCAAAGCTCGGGTCATGTGCCCAGGAGTGCTCCTCCCAGGCGGAGGGCAGGCCCAGCTCCACGACCGCCCGCCCGCCTTCCTTTCCTCCTACCCGGGGATGCTCTGGGGCCAGCCTCCTGCCATGGCACGCGGGCCCTGGGGAGCTGCGTGTGTCCCTGCAGTGCTGGCACCACAGTTCACATCATGGCCCTCAGGGACTCGCCAGCTGGAATGCTCAGTCCTCCGGCCGCAATGTCCTCGCCGTGTTTAGTCACATATGCCCTGGAAGCCAGATGCCGCCCGTTAGGGCAGATTCTAGGCCTCACTTAGGGGCGCAGTGGTAATTTGGACAGACCTCACTTTTGGGGCTGTCCCACACCTCTGTTCAGAAGCAGATCATAACCAGGGAACACCACCCGCCACTTGCTCTTTCCATTCTAACTTTTATAATCTTGGCCCCAAACACTTCTTATCTGATTAGGGAATTTTCACCTTTCTAGACTTCCAGCTGTGCTTACTTGGCCTTTTTGAAGTTCTTTTATAACAAATAAAACACCCTGCCCCCAACCTCTGAAGTCTTCTGTGGCTTCCCACTACTACAGGATCAAGCCAAGATCTTCTCCCAGTTGAAAGCCCTCAGGAGGCCGCCCCAACTGACCCTCACATCCTATGGAAAGCAGCCCAGGACGCACTCTGCCAGGGACGAGCTGTGTGCTGGTCTCGTCAAGGCGCCTGCCTTCATCCTGCCACCTGTGACACTAGGGGCTGCGTTAGGAGGCCACTACTGTGCTTTTAGTGCTAGAGTCCTCATTTTCCTCCTGATGACCTGTTCCTGTGGAGCTAGGCCATCACCTATGTGTTTCAAGCCGTGGGTCTCTAGGTCGCCTGGCCTGCATCACTGACCTTGTCAACTGCCGTGCACATGAGGGTACATGACACACGGTCCTCACGGGGCCACCTGGAGCTGCATTTTAAACGGGGTGTGTGCAGACCACAGTGAGCTCCAGACGT